CATTGGCTAGGAAAGGGCAAATTTGGAGCAACCCCAGGGTTGCTATAAAATGTAGCTGGTCTAGAGGAGATGTAGACCATGTCTAGAAACAGAAAGTTGCATCTTTTTCTGTTGCATCTTCTCTCTCTTTTTTTTTTTTTTTTTCTTTTCTTCTTACAGCTGCCTTCTGGTTTAGCTGTACTCATTGCATACATGGGGAAAAGCTGGGAATCCAGGACTTGTGAAATAGGATGTCTTTGAAATATCAAAGGGAAAACCATGAGGCAGGAAGCAGATAGCATCATCTGTGTGAGAAAATATAGCAGACTTCCACATCAACTATAACAGCATAACGGTCTTATTCCGTGTCCTAGCGCTAAACCCACGCAAGGTTAATCCCACAGCTGGTTCATAGGTTCTGCCATGAGTTGCTGGAAGGAGTGCCCAATGGCCTGAACATCACCTGGGGACCAATCGCTGCTCAGCAGTCAGCTCCTCAATTCCTTTCCTCCTGGCCTCTTCTGCTGTGTTTTGGGGTTTGGGTTTTTTTTTTCTCTCCTCTCTTTCACCTGACGTTTAGAAGGTTCTTAGATCCATCGGTGAGTAGGCAGACAGACTGATAGTTGCTAGGTAGATATTTACTCCTAGGTAGAGCTTAGGTACTTCAGATGTAGAATTAAACCTACAGCATGGTCCAGTTTTCCCTGGATTGTCCCTGGCGTGTGCTGTCCTCTCTACTAGTTTGCACACATCAAAACCTTGCCAAGAAGTGTGCTACCAGATTAAGAAAGTGGACAGTCAGTATTCCAGTGCCTGGGACTGTCTTATTTTGTGTCAAAAGCACACGTTAGAAAGCAAGCACCACTTGCCGTGATTTATAGCTGTTATACTGGCTGGTGGCATGACTCGAGGGTTGGGACTCACAGTTGCTTTACATTAATACATCTTTTTGATTTGCTTTCTCCTTCCCATTCTCTCCTCACTCTTTCAAGTTTCCAAGATTTCTAGCTCTCCCATTCTTCTGGGTTTCAGTCACACTTGTTTTTTTCTGGGTTTGTTTTTAGCTCCATGCTGTACTATTAATTTTGTCAAATTTCCTCTTTCAGGTAGTCATCAGGAGGTCAAGGTCACCTGTCATACCTTTATATGTGGTTTGTTTTTTTTTTTAAAAAGACCTCTAGTGTATAATAATCACCTCTTTCTCTCTCTCTGTTGACCAGATGATGATGTAGGTGTCTCAGGGAGACTGGCTGCTTCCCCATTTGTCAGCTGAAGCTAGATCAATAGGAAGTCCATCCTATGTGTTAAATTTTACTGGTCAATCACCATTGACCCCAGATGGTTTTCTGGCAGGTGATGCTGAGTTGAGGTGGTGGAGGAGAAACAGGCAACACAACATCTCAAAGTCTTTTCTGGCCCTATCTTCTAGGTTATTCTGAACCCTCTTGTTAATAAAAGACTTTGCTGAGCCAGATTTACCATCCTGCAAGGATTCAGTCATATATTAGTCCCCAAAATGTTAGTCTCAGAAGCAGAAGACTGGTCTGTGGGTGAAGCCATGAGTGACACACCCGTCTTTGCACGTCCTCCTGCCTCAACTGCGAGTCAAATTCATTGGTTGTGGCAATGTGTATTTATGAAAGCGGTTTCCTGGCCTCTTCAGCCTCCAAAATTGCTGAAAAGAGAAGAATATGAGCTATTCAAGAGGAGAAGATAGGTAGCAATTAGGCATATGAAAATGTACACTGCTCCTGCCAGTGGTTTAATGGCTAGCGGGAGGACAAAGGAGACCATAGCCATGCTGGTTTCATTGCTTTGATGGAAACTTGCATTAAGCCAGTAAATGCAAATAGAAAATAAATAAACAAAAAAAAAAGAGGGCTGTTTCTGTATATTGACAAAATGGGGGTTCCAAACCCACAGACCAATGCTCTGGTGAGAGGTGGTTACATCTGATTTTAAATTTAAAAAAAAAAAAAAAAAGAAGAGAGAAATGTGCACTGTCAGTAACTAGGATGAGTTGTGAGCCTTTAGGAGGTGATTTGAAGGATGCCAGGAAAGGACAGAGCTGGGAATGGGGCTCTGGCCCCCTTCCACTGTCAGCAAGGGGCCCAGGAAAATCCACCATTGCCCTCTGCTGGAGTCAGGGCTGGTGGGACTGGGGATCCAGCTGGTGTCAGGGGAGGCAAAAATCCAGGAGAGAGAGGCAGGGAGAGAAAAAGAGAGAGCAAAGAGGAGAATGAAAAGAAAAAAACCAAAGGGAGTGTTAATTAGTCCAAAAATGAGAAAATGCATCAGAGTTTGAAAGAGTTGGGTGAGGAAGGAAATGAGTAAGATGTGAGTGGAATGATAAAAATGAAAAGGGAGGGAGAAAGGAGGAGAGGCAAACCCAGGAACATTAGAAGAAGGAAGGAGAGGGGGAAATAAGCAAAGGAGAAGAAAAAAAAAAAAAGAAGGATGGGGGATAATGAGTTGTAGATGAAATTAAGAAGACAAAGGAGAAAATCTGTCATGCAGGGTGTATGGCTGAACGGGTGGATGAGTCAGGATCTAGGGAAAAAAAAAAATGGTTTTCCTGTGTTCAGGGAGCAGGAGAGAAACATCCATAGAGGAGTAACAGCAGGAGAAGGGGCAGATTCAGGGAGTCACAGCTTGAAAGCTAAAGGGATATTCGTGATCGCTTGTAGACTGTGTGTTTATTAAAGGATAAGAGCCTGTTACTGTTGCTTGAGATGTTCCTCTGTCTCTGCAATGCCTGCAGCTCCAGCAGGGAGAGGAGACCCTGGGTACCTCGTGGCTGTGGAAGTCTCCCCGGGGATGCTGCACTGACTTAATGAATTAATGGTAGAAGAGGGACTCTCTCCTGGGGGAATGCTCCCCAGATGTTGCTGCTCACAGTGGTAAGGGACTCCCTCTTCAGCCAGAAGTGGAGACATGAGGACACGTTCACAAGGATGTGATGGAGGGGAGCTGGCTGTTTTGAAACCTTAGTTCTCCAGATGTCATTAGACTGGGTGGTAGAAAAAAGAAAAATCAGAGGATCCTTCTAGATCTGCTCCTTGACACTGTTAAATACAATGGTTGATCAATTGTAAGGTTTTCCATATAGCTTCACCCTCCCCCACCAACAGGCTGCTTGTAGTGTGATGGGTCCAGGAGATTATCATGACATATCTTGTTACCTGCTATTAGAGGTGCTCCTGTATCTCCGTGGGCTCTGTCAGTGCTCTCTAAGTGCATAGTACTGAATAGAATATCCAGTTAGCCAGTGAGCGGGACTGCGATTGAATTCTGTGCCGTTTCCTGATGAGCTGGAAAGCTCTCAAGGCCAACCATTTCTACAAGGTTTTTCTGCACTTCCCAATATTAGTCGAGACGGAAATAGCATGAGAAGAGCATTTGACCTCTCCGATTCCATTCCCTGATTGAACTGGAAAAATGCAGGGGAGGAGGAACACAAACATTGCAGATAACAGCAACAATAAAGCTCATAAAATTGCAAAATAAAAGGGTCAGGCAGAGTTAGTTAGGGAGAAGGTTTAGGCTTGCTTTGACTCTGTCTGAGGGAGCATGGCATGCATTTCTTTTTCTCCTTTTTTTTTTTTTTTTAATTTTGTCTTTCAGAATTTAAGGAAGCATTCTCACTCTTTGACCGGACTCCTAAATCCGAGATGAAAATCACATACGCACAATGCGGGGATGTCTTGAGAGCTTTGGGGCAGAATCCAACCCAGGCTGAGGTCATGAAAGTGCTTGGCAGACCCAAACCAGAAGGTTGGTGTCCTCCTCTGTGTTTGTTTTGAAAAAAGATCAAGCCGAGAATTTTTTGTGAAGCAGATGAGGTCTCCATTTTCTAATGGAAAAATTAATGTGAAATAACAAAGGATGTGGAACAACTTCTGCAAATCACTATCAGAAAAGTTTTCAGACATTTTTTCAGACATTTTCTGAGTTATTTCTCTGTCCTTTCCTTCCGCTGAGGTGGAACATTTAGGCCCTCATATAGCAACTATGACGTCAGAACATGACGGTGGCATAGTGGCACATAAGACAAGGAGTCATATGTGAACAAAATTCCCTCTAACCCTCTTGAAAGGCAAAAAATTGGGAAAATGGCATCCACAGCCCTGGTCCTGACTATGTGAAGATCCTTTCCCAGTATGGTTTTAAACATTTCTGCATTATAGGGCTGCAAATCAAAGTTGATTTCTTATTGGGAATGAGCTTCTCTTACTGTCTTCCACTTAGTTTCATAGTTTTATGTCGTATGAAAGTCTTGGGAGTCTAACAGTATTTTCTTTCCTTGATGTCTGTATATATCAGATAGTAGTATGTGATCTATCTATCTGTTAAAAACTTGTATTTCTCTCTTTGCCAGACCTCTTTCCCACTCTATCCATTCTTCCATCTGTACTTACGATATTTCTGTGCTCTTTTCTCTCCTTTAGCTGGCATTCATTGCCACTGTTCTTCTCTCCTCATGTGGTGGATGCCCCATGGTTAGTCCTCAACTCTGCCCGAATCCACCAAACTCTCATTTCCATCTGTGTCTTTGCAGACATGAACTCCAAGATGATCGACTTTGAGACCTTCCTGCCCATGCTCCAACACATTGCCAAGACGAAAGACACAGGCACCTATGAAGACTTCGTGGAGGGTCTGCGTGTGTTCGACAAGGAGGGAAATGGAACAGTGATGGGGGCTGAACTCCGCCACGTTTTGGCTACGCTGGGTATGGAGAACCTTTCCTCATGCTGTTTCATTGCTGAAGGCTTTCCCATACAGCTTGTATCATTATGGGTAACCTTTATGGAGAAAATTACTGGGCAAGACTTCAGTTATGACATTGTCCTCAGTTATAAAGACCAAAAAAAGTTCTTTAATAATAAAGCTAAAAATCACTGACCTACAGCTCAAATATTTGTCCTTCCTTCCTTCCTTCCTTCCTTCCTTCCTTCCTTCTTCTAGTGTTTTATTTCTCCAATAAATATTACATTTCTATCTCTATAAAATTATCCACACATTGGAAACCCCATCTGTTCCTTCAAAATTTGTCTCCATTTTTCTTCCCCTTCAAGAAAAGTTTTAAGGCGACTTTTTAATCACTCATCTGTTTAACAGAAATGTCTCTGAAATGGAAAGCTGTTTTTAAAGGAGGGATCAATATTTCTCTGTCCTCTCAAATTTTCACTTCAGGAGCTCAGTTTTTCACAGAGAGTGATGACAACAGAATGAGTGCAGGACAGCAAATTTGGCTGTAACTTAATGACAGGTTTCCAATTTGGATTACAACACACTGACATGTCATCTGAATCCAGTAAGCATTTCTCAAAATCAACTTTTTCTACTAACATTTGTCCACTATTAAAAAAAAAAAAAAAAAAAAAAAAAAAAAAGGATGAGCCTTTACAAAAGAGATTCGATTTAAACCAAAGAGTTCCAATGATGGGTTTTGACCTGGAATATCAATTCAAAAAGCCAAACATTTTATGTTCAAGGATTCTCATTCAATTACACATACATCTGTCTTAATGTCACAGGGAATAAAAAAATAAAGTTATATTATTTTTCTTTTTATCACTGATAGTCTGGGATTTGTTGGGAGACCAAATTCAGTGATGACAAAAAAATGACAGAGGGTCAGGATCGTTGCCCTGTCTAACCTCACCTGGGATGAAAAAACCACTGTGGGCAGTGTTGTGAGTTTCGCAGTACTAGAAATAAATAATTTTGTACTTACCCTTCATTTTCCAGTAACCCAGAACAATGTGGCAATGTCTGATTTTCAAAGACCAATAGGAAATATTTCAATCTTAAGAATTAACAGTTCTCTTTAGAGTAGCATCTCTAAATACTGGTCAAATCCTAGGTGCAGCCAAATATTGTGTAAATTAGCATGCTTTTCTGTCCAATTTTCAAAAAATTGGTTGAATTTTCACAGGTTCACATCAGCTGAAGACTTGTTCCTCTGTGCCAAAATTCAGTGGTGGAAAAGTGGAACAACATGAGTAGCAGGGCACACCCAATGCATTTTGCTTTATTTTAATTTCAGTTGAAATCATCCTCAAATTTTTCCCATACTTCTCTGGAACTCATTTGATCTTGTCCTAAAATCAGTGACTAATATGAGAATAAAGAGATGGATTGGGTTGATCTCTCCTTAAACAGAACGAAGCCCTACAAGCAAACAATCACCCAATATTTGGATAATTAAATTAAATAAATCACTGATTCAAATCAGGGATCTTAAGTTTGATCTTGGAATCTTCCTGAACCTCAAACTCAAAGGCAAACTAGATGATTGAGCTTGCATAGTGAGGACTTGGTTAAAAAGTAACTAAAGCCTTCAAGAACCGGCACTTAGAGAAAGCTTATTCTTAGAAAAATTAGTATGTGAACAGGATATCATGTGGGTTTCCATATTTATTCTGTCTCTTTGGTTTTCAGATCAAATTTTCACAGTTTTCAAGTTCAAGAGTAGCTTTCCTAGCAATCAGAACCACAAATTAAACTGAAGAGAAAATCGTTCCCTCTTCTCTCTCTTTCGTATTCTTTGATTATTTGAACTGTGCTTTGTAAACTCTTTAAAAAGGGGTCAGGTACTACGATACTGAACAGGAATTTTGTTTTCCACCCAGGTGAGAGGTTGACTGAAGAGGAAGTTGATAAGCTAATGGCTGGTCAGGAGGATGCCAATGGTTGTATCAACTATGAAGGTAGGTATGACCACTCCAGTCTGAGCAGTGGTTGTGTGCTTGAAGGTTTCCTTGCAATTATCCTGAAAAACTTCAAATCTGTGGAAGATCTGGCTCCCAAAGATCAGGATGTGTGCTCTAGCAAATTTTAGACCAATTCAGATTCTAAATTCACCTGTTATACTTTATCTGTTGAAGGTTATTCATATTTCCAAAGCTGAACGGATGCAGACCTTTCAGGAGGTGGGGCTGTATATTCTTATTTTGTTTGCCTTTTTAAAAAAAAAATTGCATTATTTTTCTACTTGCTCCCACAGTTCCTTGTCCTCTCAAAGAGAGATACACATCCCTTTTAAGACCTCCTTACAGAAAATCACTAATATTTCCTTCAAAAACTCTTAAGGTTGATTGGTGACTGACCATTGGTCATCTTGGTGATTTAGCTGGTCTGTCATGTTCACTGAGCCTTTTATGAAAGTTTGGGAAACCTTTCTTGCAAGTATTTTATGGGTAGAAATATGTAGATTTAGCCAACCCAAATGATTCATGAATTTATGCTGAATTCATTGCATGGGGGGATTATTGGGAAGGAAAAAATATTTCCTTTCTGCAAAATTTATTTTTCCTTTTATTTTTGAATTTCAAAATTATATGTAATGAATGTTTTTTAAAATGGAGAAAAATGTAACCCAACCCTTTTTGAAACAAAAACTTAATTTGGCTTTGAAATATCTTGCTTGTTTCTAAAGCTGAGTTCACTGGAGAGTTATAATCACGATTCCCGACTTGACCTGCTGTGGATTCTGGAGGTTAACTCAAGGCACCTTCAGTGCCCCTTGACTCAGTACTGACATGATGAAGTCTTGAAAGCCTTGCAAAAGGAGGACCCAGAGTTTCTCATAGCTATATACTTTGGAAAGCCAGTTCCATATGGCAGCCAGGGATTAAGCAAGCTCAGGATTTCCTGATGTATGTGTTCTGCTAGCTACCTAGACTGCTGGCTCCACTGCCCTGTATGTGTGCTATCTTAAGGATTTGCAAAGCATTTAGCCCCTGGTATCTGGGGTTTTATTTTAAAAATGATGTGGTCTTCATTGCATCAGAGGAAGCAAGATGGGTGAACTCATACAACAACCAAACTGAGATATCCAGGATTTACTGAGTCCAATGAAAGGGAATTGATAAATGACCCTTCTCTTTCTCTCCTTTCCAGCTTTCGTGAAACATATCATGGCTAACTGAACACCAGGTGAGTCTCTTCTGTCCTCCTTGCACACCCTGTTATTTTGGTTCTCGCATCTGAGATAGGCTTAAAGAATGTGTAAACGAAAATCAAAGAGAGGGACTTTTTTCAGCATACTGTACAAGGAAGTAGGACAAGAATGAAAAAAAAAAGTCATCTTCATCCTATCAAGTGCACAGAAAATCAGTGACCTTTCTGCCATTGTCTGGTAAATCTGGATGACTTTATTTTAGAAGTTCAGTGTAAAATATCCTAAAATTTTTTGGTTTCCAAAGAGCAAGTGCTCGTTCCTTTATGATTTCCTGGAAAGCTCAAAGGATGCATATTTTTCATGTCCACTCACATGTGTCTGCTCCTAGACTTCTAAAAAGGCAAGGAGATAGAACTAAGCTGTCTAGAGAAACAGAAGGAAAAAAAAACAAGGAAAAGTAGATAAGGAGTAATACATGCCTATGTCACTGAACCTACACTCGGAGGATAATTATTGGCCTTCCATAAATCTGGCTCCCAATATTTCCTGGCAAATGGGTTGGTTTTCCAGGAAAACACATGAGCTTTGTCCAGCACATCTTCTGGCTTTGCTCAGTAGAGTTCTCCAGACCACAGTACCATTAAAGGGTATCTCCGTCTCACCATTGCAAATGAGCTGAACTCCATTTCCAGTATTTCCTGGTCATCATTTATTTTTGTATTCCTGGAAAATGTGCCCACTGTTTTCAGCTGGCATTCACCATTATTTAACTCTGTTCAACTCTGGGGAAGGTCTGACCTGAGAGTTAACCAACTCTATCTATTCTGCAAAGTATCTGATAGAGTGGGAAAAGCAGTGGCTTCCTTCAGATTTGTTCTGGTTGTTTTGGATTTTGTTTGACTGGGTTGTTTTTTTTTTTTCTTCTGCTTTGGTTTACTTTTATTTTTTGGTTTTGGAGCTGACATTATTCCAGTCCACTGAGACCTCTCTGCTTGTGATGCCTTTTGATTATGTTCATTGGCACCCCAGGGAGACAATTAAGTAGGAGCTACATCCAGGTCTTTGGGACTTTTGTTCCAAGACATAATTGAAGAAAATATAAACTGCCTAAAAAGGATGACTGGTTATTTTTCTTATTGTAGTCCAGTTTTCTTCCTCAAAGGCATTTATCTTCTCTGAACATGCACTCAATTTTCCTACACTGGTTCCCAGTTTTCAGTTCCAAGGATCTGGACTGGCCCACAGCCATAGTGGGCAATCCTACAGCTAGTGTGATCCTCACTTGTTGTTTAGAGATGTTTTCAATCCTTAATCCCATCCTAAACCCACTGCCATGGGAAATTCCCATTCCAATGCCAAAAGTCTTTCTAGTCACGTAAAGCAAGGTGGTAAGTTATGAGCAGTGGTAAATTGTAAAGCTGGCACAGGGCTGGGAGCTGCAGCATTGGGGCCAGCAAGAGTTTGTTTATGATGGGTTTGGAAAGGGAGCTGAGAGCTCCTGACTCACAGAGGCTCAATGTGCCACTGATTTGCCAATGAGCCATGATGGGCGTCATTCTGGGGTGGCATCTTCCACTCCCTGCTGTGTTGCTGTTTGCATTTTTAGTGAAAGACAAATGCAGTCTTCACCCTTGAAAGGGTGATGGCCCTTTGCCATTGAGCATAAAACAAACAAATCCACAAACACTGGATGCAAACTCAGTGGGAATCTGGATCTGAGTCCAAAAACAAAATAGTGGCTTGTGTTTCTTGGACATTCCCATATGCTGGAGGAAAGCTAGAGCTGTATCTCAACATAAGAACTAAACTATGTCTTTCTTTTCACTTTCCTTTTCCTTTTCCTTTTTTTTTTTTTCTTTATTTTATGGGCATAGTTGTTGTGACCACTCTATATCGACTTTTCTTATATATAGCCTCTCCACCGGCTTGTCCCCAAGTGCTATATATTTTTTATAACACAGAGTCATCAATTACATCTTCAATTAGTGACTCTTTCACCATTTTTTCCAGTCCCCTCAGGTCAAGTGCTCTGCAGGATTATAGCCAATTACTCTTCCTTCCCAGTAGGCATTGCTGTAGGAAACACTCCCAGACTGCCTACACATCTACTCGTTACACTATTCAGTGGGAAAGGTACGGGCAGCAGGACAAATTAAGTTTTCTCACATAGGTAGAAAGCACTATACTCTACCTGTGGTCCAATGACCACTGTAGTATGGAGTAGGACAGTGGGATACCTGGAGTGGACTCCATGGCCCCCCATGAACGCAATGCACACAACTGTCCCCCTTGCCATGGGAAAGAACGATGAGCAGAGTCAACCTTATCTCATGGCTTACCTCTTCGGTGCATACCCATCCCTGGGAGCTGATCAAACAGCCCAAAATGCTGGGAAGGAACGTCTTTAGGAGCAAGCTGGATGTTTTCTGAATTGTCCAGATGCCTACTTCTCTAACACAGACTTTGTTTTACAGAAATACCCTATTTAAATTTAAACATAAGCTCAGGTAGTGGAGGGGCTGTCCATAGTGTGTACACAGAAGCTCAGTTCAGTGTCCCACATGTAGGTTCTTGGTGTTGTTTGAGGTGTTCCTGTGTCTCCTACATCCATGGATTCGCAGAAGAGATGCAGAGCCCATGGCAGACTTGCACGTTCTGACAGCTGGGCAGGGTCCTCCAGGACATCTCAAGTGGCTCCAGGTGCTGAGGGGTGGAGAAGCGAATTGAGCCATATGGCTTGAGCTCACGTGAAAACTTAGAATATGCCACCAATATTTGACTAGCTGACTTAGTCTTCCTTGGCTCCCACCAGATTTAGATGCCTACACGTAGGTGCCTACGTGAAAGCAGGTTATCTCTGCTTCCAGACCCAAAGGGGGTCCAGCTCAATGGAGCATGCAGAGTGATTCGCTTCATCCAAAGAAGAGACATCGATGCAGTGAGTCCAGCTGCCAACATCAAGAAGGACAAATCTCCCATGAACACTATGTTGTATTTGCTGTCTGTATGGGAATGTTCTGAATGCATTGAGGCTCTCAAATTGTACCAGATGCTTATGGTTCAGGAACTGAATCCTGCCTGAAATCTAGACGTTAGATAAGAGAAATCCCTCTGCTCAAATTTTGCTAATGGAAGACTGACTACAGATAATAGAGGGATGACAGAAGTAACAGAAACTGTCCAGTGGTTCAGGAACTGGACTGTTTTTCTGGAAAGCTGAGTCTTTACACTGGCTTCATGTCTGATGTGGCTATATCACCTTTCCATAGAATCATAGAATAGGATCATAGAATCATTAAGGTTGGAAAAGACCTCAAGGATCATCAAGTCCAACCCAACACCACCTAACTCACTAAACCATGTCCCCAAGCACCCCATCGACCGGTTCCTGGACCCCTTCCAGGGATGGTGACTCCCCCACTTCCCTGGGCAGCCTGTTCCACTGCCTGATCCCTCTTTCAGTGAAGAAATTTTTTCTAATATCCAGCTTAAACCTCCCCTGGCACAACTTGAGGCCATTTCCTCTTGTCCTATCACTTGTTACTTTAGAGAAGTGGTGGGTGGGTGCTGGCCTCTCACTGCTTCCCATGTTTTGTCCATCATTTACACTTGAGTGTAAGCTTGTGGTGTTGGGACTTACTAAGGATATTTTGTCACGTTGTGAGATTGCTCTTTGATGTCAGTTGGCATCTACATAGTGCGGAGACACTCAACTGTAGGTCTCGCCAGCAATAAGTTAAGTACAGATACATGAGGACCAACGAAGCTGATTCCTGGTGGCATTGTTTGTTTTTTCTTTCTTCCTCTAATGCTTAAAAATAACTTTATTTTTAGGACAAGATAGGCACTGAGAACCCCAGATGCTGGCCTTGGATTTTGATGTAATGGAATGTCTTCTCATTTTTCAGCCTGGATTCCCATTGCAGCACTACAAAATGTGCTGTCCCCAAAGTTATTTGGACAAATGTGGTTTTTTTTTTTTGTTTTGTCTTGTTTCTTCATGGGAAGAGGATGGCCTCTGTGGAGATTCAGCACACTCAGGAAACTGAAGAAACTGGAATCTGAACTATGAATACCTGGGCATTGCCATTTTATTTTTCTGATACAGAATATGAACATCAATAGAAAATTGTCTAGTGAGAAGAGAGAAAAAAGGAGTAATTTTTTTCGTGACTAAATCAATCAAAAAATCTATTTGTCATTTAGCCATATTCTCCCTCCCTTCTTCCTTCCAAAAAAACTGGACCTTTCTCTTTGTGTTTATTGCATTAGTAAAAAAATATCTGTAAGAGAGTAAGGGAGAAAAGAAACTAAACTAGTTGTATAAATCTCATGTACATAAGGAATACTCTTTAGAGAAGAACAGTAAAAGTAGAATGCCCAGCAATCAGCAACAAACACAACCTTGTTCCCATCTTTCTCAGCTTTGGAAGATACCACTGTTAACATATGAGATGTAAAAGAATAAAATCAAAGCAAAACAGAAGTGTACACAATCTTTGCTAAAATCCATCTCTTTTCCCCAAGGATTACTTCCCATTCCAGCAGTGTGACCTCTGAAGCAAGTAAAAAGTCTTTCCCAACGTAAATTGGAAATTGTTCTAATAAATGTGTCTTCGTCCTGTAGCTTTTTGCAGTAAAACATGGGATTCTTTGTCACCTGCTCTCATCATTGTGTCTCTGCCTGTGTGAGGGAAGGGAAAATGGGAAATAAATGCTGTTGGGAAAAACCTCAGTAGAGGCGCAAGAAAGTTGATAAGCGTGAAGAAGCACATGGATTAAGTTGGCTCATTTTCTGGGGAATAAAAATTTTAAAGTGAAAAAAAAAGATATATCTTTTGGGGGTGGAAAAAGGAAAAGCTAGAGGCTGGTGCAGTTTGTTAGGAAATACCAAAAAATATGAATATTCAACACTCCATTTAAACAAGAGGTATTGTTGAAACAATAACTTGGAAACTTAGTGGAGGAAAGACAATTAGTGAAATGTTGGGATATCAGGATACAAACTGCATAGCAATGACTGAATAGGTCAACCCCACAGAGAAGAATTGCTATGAATGAAAGAACACAAACTATCCAATTACATGAATATATACAAGCTGTAACGAAATGTACCATTGACTAGAAATAATAGAAAATCAGCAATCAGAGAGCTAAATGCAGTATCTGATGGCAATAACAAAAAGACGTTAAAGGAAATTCAAAAAGCTTGTGCAGAGGGAGGAGTAGAAAAATGATAATAATGACAGAAATGTCTTGTATACAGCTTGGGTTAACTGTACACAAAGGAGCAAGTAAGGGGCAAAAAAAAAAGTTGAAAGGCTCCGGCGAGACCTTCCAGCATCTTCCAGTGCTGAAAGGGGGCTACAGGAGAGCTGGGGGGGCTCTGCATCAGGGGGTGCAGGGACAGGACGAGGGGGAACGGTTTGGAGCTGAAAGAGGGGAGATTGAGATGAGATGTTGGGAAGAAATGTTTTCCTGTGCGGGGGGTGAGGCAGTGGCCCAGGTTGCCCAGAGAAGCTGTGGATGCCCCATCCCTGGAGGGGTTCAAGGCCAGGCTGGATGAGGCTTTGGGCAACCTGGGCTGGTGGGAGGTGTCCCTGCCCATGGCAGGGGGTGGAACTCAATGGGCTTTAAGGTCCCTTCCAACCCAAACCATTCTATGATCCTATGATTACACATTATTACTATTTTTATTACTGGTTTTATATTTTCTTGCTGTTACTAAAATCACAGTTGAAACCTCCTCATCACATGAATCCAGCAGCTGGGACTTACACGAGGCTCACAGCTATTTCAGGAAAACTTGAAGGGCTGGTAGTGCTGCAGGTGAGCGAGCAAGACCTTTGATGGAGCAACATGAGATGCAAAGACCAAGAGGCCGAGTACAACCACCTGGGTTGACGTGCACCAGCCAAGAGCACAAGGCAAGAGCACTGCCAAAGTGCAGCACATGGGGCAAAGCCGGGCTTAGCAGCGGCCCAGTGAAGCAGAACAGAATGAAAGAACAACTGGTGTTTCACCCCAATTGCACTGGCAGGGCTCTTTGAGAAACACTCCGCAGGTCAGTCCAAGGTGCAAAGCTGTGCGTGGGAGAAGGCTGGAAGGGCGCCCGTTACCTTCCGTGTCTTCGGACACACTATCGTTGAGTTTAGTTTTCATGAGCACAGGATTCACTCAGAAGTAAACCGGAATAAATAAGCAATATTTCTTACCCCTGATCCTAACTTAAAAAATTAAAAAAAAAAAAGAAAAAAGTAACCTATCTTGAGAACGTTTCTTTAAAAAAAAAATGTGGGCAGGAGCCATGCCAAGTTTCTAGAAGATCTTTTTATAGCAGTAGCATCTGGCTCTTTGGGCGACTCCGTAGGGAGTTTTCTTGGTGACTTTACATCTGCTGTGGTTAAGCTGCTAATGGACTGGCTGTCTGGGCTGCTGCCTGCTCCGCTCGTTTCTTAGTACCACACTTTGGTTATTTGAGGAGTTTTGAGCCTGTTGACTTCTTGCCAGCATTACATCGTGCATTCCCGCAGTAACTCGCATTGCGACACCCAGTTGTGCAGAAGAGGTTTCAGGCGGAGCAAGGATATTGGCTGGCATTTCATTACCCTCTCCTTAAACCCACCCGAGCCCGGATTAGAGCAGCAGGGTGAAGTGTGGATTTTTTTGATCTAGAAGCCAAACGGAAAGTGAATGCTGTAATATTTTTTCCAGTGATGTCCACAGCAAATAAACAAATAAATACATCAATGATTTAATCAGGGGGGTCAGTTAAAAATACTTTGTCCCCTATTGATATGTTCCAGCTCATTTTTTTACTTATTCATCACTCTAAAATCTATTTTTTAACCTCAACTGATTAATTACTAGTTTAGAGTGAAAAATCACAATGTATCCATCTGCATCATTTTGAAAAAACATTTTTACATTTTCAACATTTTGCTTTATGAACAGAATTTTTTTTTTTTTTTTTTCAGCCAAACCTGTTGCCAAAACTCCACCTGATTTTAAGCATGAATTTCCTCTACGTGTAGATGTGGTGCTTGGGGACATGGTTTAGTGAGTTAGGTGGTGTTGGGCTGACGGTTGGACTTGATGATCCTTGAGGCCTTTTCCAACCTTAATGATTCTATGATTCTATTCTACGATTCTACGATATCATTCCCCAGAGAATCTACAGTTTTTCCCAGAACTGCTTTCAGGATTAATTTTTCTCAGCTGACTCATTTGGTTTTTCACAACTTTTGCTCCTCTGATTAGATTAATTGGCCCTTAGAAACACTTTTTTGTTTTTCTCTCCACTGAGAAAAAAACAACCTTAAACAACTGCTTCAGGAACAGGCTTTTTGAACTTAATTAATTGGCCTAAACAGTGATATGTCTTGTCATTTGCAATGCTCTGGGCTATTGCCTCATTTTGCTCAGAAATACGCATAAATTCTGCAAGTCCTCTTTTCAGTTTTTATACTCAAAGGTTTTGAGTTGAGTTTTTATACCCACCAAGATAAAGCCTGCCCAAAGATAAACCAGTTTTTTTATCCACTTGTAGCAGCAGTGTTTTTGGTGGAGTAATGATGTGAAAATATCTGTGATTATAATTAATATCTGATTGTATGACGCTGATCTTAAATACACGTATGAGCCTTTACGCAGGGATGTCACCACACTGCACAATGTGGACAATGTGAGCTGTGAATTCACCAAACGCCTCGTGATACAGCGGAGTTATTTTTTTCCCAGGTTTATTTAACATAGAAAATTCTTTAGATTCTCTAGAGTTTCTTATGTAGCCTAGGTCCATCTATCCTTCTTCTCCCATTTATCCGGTGAAGTTGCTGAAATATGTCAAAAGCCCAACAGAACAGCAAAATGAATGTTTTCATTCATAAATCCCAAAGTGCTTGTGTTTCTGAACTAGCTGTTCTGTGAATTCCTTCACCTCCCTGCAGTAAAAGTGCTGCGGGAGAGTTATGACACATGCCAAAGGCAAAACACAGGAGAAATGAAGAAAGAAAAACATATATTTGTGTAGGTAGACCTATACTGAACTGAAGCAATGGTGTGCCATTTGGGACAGCACTAGCATTTGAAGCTGTGTTTCTGTTCCCACTGGGAAAAATCAGTGGATGCATAGGAGTCAACACACAAACACAGAGGAAATAGACTCACACAGAGTCTCTCAGGATGTAGTTTGACATTTCTGGAATGAAGTTTCTAGTTTGAGGATATGAGGCTTTTGGGAGCCTAGTAACAGATTTAAAAAGAAAAAACAAAAACAAAAACAAAAACCAAGCTAAACCACCCCCCCCCCCCCAAAACAACCCCCACCCATGCCCATGCAACCCAAAGTACTTCTCCAGTTTAAACTCAGTGCGTGTCTTCAAACCAGCTTGAAACTTCTGAAGAACTTCACTTGGTTTAGGTAGTCTTCTGGGGCATCACCTTTGTCTGCCGCTCTACCTTCATGCTGGCTCACCAAAAATAAAATATCAGCAGCATCTTCCTGTAGGTTCTGTAAAGTAAGTAGAAGAGTAGAAACTCGGCACACGCTCCGTATCACGCGCACCAGTGACAGTATCACAGTTGCGTGCTCAGGGTTGGTCTGGATGAAAATCTGTGCATGTAAATTTGTCTGTGAGCTCCTTCCAGGTGCATTCACAACCTTAAAAATACATAAAAACAGAGACGCTGCTCAAAAATCCTTTGGCAACTGTCATTCCAGAAGGCACCCTTTGCATTAGTGACATAACTCTTCACATTTGGCTTGTATTTCAAACCTTCTAGCTGCATGGAGATGCACTTGTCCATGGAATGGACCAAACTGTGTCTTAACTGTGCATGTGCTCACCACAATTTTTTTTTTGTGTTTATTTGTTTTGTTCTTACCCAGAACAAACTCCTTTGCTGAGCTGGATGCCTG